GCTGGAATGGGCTACAAGACCATCAGCAAGAAATTTGGTGAGATGGAGACAACTGTTGGAGCGATTATTCATAAATGGAAGAAATACAAATTAAACCATCAATCGCCCTCAGTCTGGATCTCCATGCAACATTTTGCCTCATGGGGTAAGGATGATCATGAGAAAAGTGAGGGATCAGCCCACAACTACTTGGGAGGAGCTTGTGAATGATCTCAAGGCAGTTGGGACTACAGTTACCAAACAAACCATTGGTAACACAATACGCCGCCATGGCTTGAAATGCTGCAGCGCCTGCAAGGTCCGCCTCCTTAAGAAGGCACTTGTACAGGCACTTGTACAGAACACCATCCCTACAATCAAGCACAGAGGTTTAAACATTATGCTTTGGGGCTGTTTCTCTACTAACGGTACAGGCCAACTTTGCTGCACTGAGGGGCCAATGGACAGGGCCATGTATTGTAAAATCTTGGATGAGAACCTTCTTCCCTCAGCCAGAAGACTGAAGATGGGTTGTGGATGGGTCTTCCAGCATGACAATGACTCAAAACATACCACCAAGGCAACAAAGGAGTGGCTGATGAAGAAGCACATTAAGGTCATGGAGTGGCCTAGCCAGTCGCCACACCTTAATCCTATAGAAAATGTGTGGAGGGAGCTGAAGCTTTGAGTTTCCAAGTGACAGCCATGAAACCTTAAGGATTTAGAGAAAATCTGTAGAGAATAGTGGACCAAAAGCCCTCCTGAGATGTGTGCAAACCTGACAACCAACTACTAGCAGGGACATATCTGCCACAAGGCAAACAAGGCATTTGCCTTGGGCAGCATTATGCAGAGGGTGGGGCTGCCTCCAGACAGAAGGGGATAGTGGCGGCTTGGGCAGCGGGCGGTCTCAGCTGAGCTTGGCTCGACTGTACTCGGATGGGGGAGTGGGTTTCGGCTGTGCTTGGGCGGAGGGTGGCAATCTTCGACTGTGCTCAGGCAGGGTTGTTACTTCGGCTGTGCTCGGGTGGGAGTGGTGGCACTTCGGGTGTGCTTGGGTGGGCGGGGGGGTGCTTCGGCTGTGCTTGGGCGGGGGGGGCGGTGCTTTGGCTGTGCTCGAGTGGGGCTTTTGCTGTGCTCAGGTGGGGAGGCAGGGTTTCAGCTGTGCTCTTTCTCAGTTGTGCTCAGGCAGGACTTTCGCTGTGCTTGGGCAGGGGGTGGGACGTGGGCTTTAGCTGTGCTCAGGCAGAGTGACTGTGCTTGGGTGAAGGGTCAGGCCTTGGCTGTGCTCGGGCAGGTCTTTGGCTGTGCTCGGGTGGGGGGAGGGGCACAGGCTTCAGCTGTGCTCGAGCAGAGGAGCGGGCCTCGGCTGTGTTTGGACAGGTGGGTGCTTCAACTGTGCTCAGGTGGGGGGGCGGTGCTTTGATTGTGCTTGGTCAGGGGGGCGGTGCTTCGGCTGTGCTCAAGCTGGGCTTTGGCTGTGCTCAGACAGGGGTGGGGATTCGGCTGTGCTCAGGCAGGTGGCGGGGCTTTGGCTGTGCACGGCTAACCATCTCCCGTATCCTGTCCACAGTCTCTGACCGTCTCCTGTGTCCTGCCCACAGTCTCTGACTGTCTCCTGTAGTATGCATGCAGTCTGACCATCTTCTGTATTCTGTCTGCAGTCTCTGACCATCTGCTTTATCCTGTATGCAGTCTCTGATCTTCTCCTGTAGCATGTCCGCAGTGTCTGACCGTCTCCTGTATCCTGTCCACAGTCTCTTTCCATCTCCTGTATCCTGTCCACAGTCTCTGATCTTCTCCTGTATCCTGTCTGCAGTCTCTGATCTTCTTGTGTAGTATGTCTGCAGTCTCTGACCGTCTCTTGTATCATGTCTGCAGTCTCTGACTGTCTCCTGTATCTTATCCGCAGTCTCATTTGTACTTCTCCTGTTGAACGAACTGCACTCCTGTGACCCGATTTAGCCGTCAGTGGGCTAAAGTTTGCCGTAAGCTGACGCCACAGAGCCGGTCCAGGCTGTGGAAAGTTCACGACCATATGGTTGGGATTGACCCAGGATCCTGGACCAGCACCTGGCTCATCCTTTCAGTAAGATGCTGAGAGCCTGAGCCAGCTGCTCCTGCCCCCTCCACAGCTCAGAGCTCCAGTGAGCACTGGGGGGGCATTGCAGACAGCCGTGACTGACAGTCATCTCTCTCTGCTCAGAGTGGCGGGGAGAACTGAGTGATCAGTGGTGTCTGATCGCTCAGTTTTCATCCTCAGAGCCAGTGAGAGACAGATGCAGCATCGGATCGGTGTCCACCTAGGTAAGTATGATTTAAAAAAAAATAATCTTATACTTTTCTTTTTCAAATATGTCAACTTTATTCTCTGTACTTGTTTAATAAAATTCAGTCACTTCCTCGGGGGAATATGGATGAAGATTATATACCATGTATAGTAACATATTAGTGCCATCATATATGTTTTCATATTATCAAAAAATTACAACGATATGTACTTATATTTAGGTAACTTAAAAGATAGGCCTACTGTTTCCTATAGAAGATCCTTATTTAGCTGCAGTAGAGCAGTATACTGCATCCAGGGACACAATATTGCAAGGGTGAGCCAATGACAATACAAAACAAAAGGGTCATAGAGGAGAATACAGTCAGATTTATTAACTGCAAAGATATCATACACTTTTTCAACAGTCCCTTAAGGGTCCTCATATTGCAAATACTATATGTAATATATAGCAGGTATTATACTGTATATAACAAGGAAGAGAATCATTCTTAACTACTTTTATGGGTGGTATTACACTCTCACATAAATGGCTGTATCATAAACACTGTCCTGAAAGATAGTATTTAATATATAGAGGATATAATTCCAATAATATAATTTCCAGAACTGCTGTCAGGAATGGACTGGCCAGCAATAGTGGGACTCACCTGCCTTGTGAGCTGCAGTACCAGGGCTGGCCAGCGGGTGCTCCCAGCAATCAGAGACTCAACCTTGCAGCCAGTCAAACACCTGGAACTAATTATACTGGTGTATTTAAGGGACATTCAGACCTGAAGACTCTGCCTTGGTGTTGTGTTTCTCTTGGGCCCTGTATCCTGTTCCTCCCTGTTCCTGTCTGATTCTCTGCTGACCCTGCTCTGATCCCTGGCTTGTCTGACCATTCTCCTGCTCCTGATCCCTGGCTTGTCTGACCATTCTCCTCTGCCTGACCCTCTGTACCACGCTGCCTGCTACCTGCTGAACCTGGCCTGTGACCCCGACCATTCTCCGCTTGCTCCCCCTGTACCTACCTGCCCGATTGATATTGACCCGGCCTGCCTGACGACGCTTGCATTGTATGTACTGTTATCTGTGGGTGGTGGTTGGTTGGTTTGTTTGCACTGTGTTATGTTTTAGTATTGCACTGCATTTATGTTTGTATGGTTAGTGTTAATAAATTACATTGTTTATAACATATCTGAAGCCTGCGTTTCCCTGCGTCAGTCACACACCTCTGGTCATACCCGGGAGCCCTGACATTACACCAAGGCCAATCCTGACCAGAAGTGGCTGCACAGGGAAGCCATCTTGGTTTGTTGATGGGAAGGATGGATCTGGATGAGGTTGCGTATTTATATCTGCTAGTGTTTGATGACAGGGAGTATGCTTATCAAACTCTGAAGGAGTATACCCGGGATGAACTGCTAGAATGTATACAGCTCGCTAATGTTCTAGTAGATCAGGGCACAGAGTTCTCTGAGGTGCAGCCATTAATTGAGGTTTGTGCTGAGTTGGTTTCATCTGGTACCCCCGAATGCAGGGATGAATTTTTGCCACCATGTGCAGACCAGGTAGAATCCCTGGTATGGTTATTAGAGGATGGTGTGGATTACTTCTTGGAGCGTTATTCCACATGTTCACCACAGGTATTAAGGGATTGTATAAACGCAGTGCAGTCTTTGGTCAGACAGGCTTTGTGTAAGCTCAGCTTTGTTCAACCCATACTGCAGACATGGACAGATTTGTTGCACCCAGCCTCAGTCAGCTTACAAAGACCCAGTCCTGCTTCTAATCTATTTCCTCAAAGCTCTACTCCTGTATTCCCAACAGCTCCTCCAGTTACAGCCCAGTATACTTGGCTATCTACCGCATGTCAGTACCCTGTTCCCACTCGCTGCACCTATCCTGCCTTTAACCCTGTAAAGAAGCCCTCTGTAGTGACTGTTCCCTCCTCTGTTCCATCCTCCAGCTCTTCTCTGTCTCCAGCTGCTCCATTCGTTTGCAGACCTGCATTTACTTGCAGTGCTCCAGTAGTTAAAACCAGAAAAAAGCGAAAATTCTTTCCAACCAATACCATCCTGCCAGTATCCAAACCGATGAACCTGCCTTCCGTGGTTCAGCCTGAAGCCTCTACTCAGCCTGAATCCTCTACTCAGCCTGATGCCTGTACGCAGCCTGAAGCCTCTACTCAGCCTGAAGCCTCTACTCAGCCTGAAGCCTCTACTCAGCCTGAAGCCTCTACTCAGCCTGATGCCTGTACTCAGCCTGATGCCTCTCTTCAGCCTGATGCCTCTCTTCAGCCTGATGCCTCTACTCAGCCTGATGCCTCTACTCAGCCTGATGCCTCTACTCAGCCTGAAGCCTCTATTCCGCCTGAAGCCTCTATTCCGCCTGAAGCCTCTATTCCGCCTGAAGCCTCTATTCCGCCTGATGCCTCTATTCCGCCTGATGCCTCTATTCAGCCTGATGCCTCTATTCAGCCTGAAGCCTCTACTCAGCCTGAAGCCTCTACTCAGCCTGAAGCCTCTACTCAGCCTGATGCCTCTACTCAGCCTGATGCCTCTACTCAGCCTGATGCCTCTACTCAGCCTGATGCCTCTACTCAGCCTGATGCCTCTACTCAGCCTGATGCCTCTACTCAGCCTGATGCCTCTACTCAGCCTGATGCCTTTACTCAGCCGGATGCCTGCATTCAGCCTGATGCCGCTACTCAGCATGATGAACTGATCCAGCCTGACGATCCTATTAGGCCAGTTGACTCGATGCCCGCTGTTGATCCAGATGATCTGGTACCTGATCCGGTGCCCGCTGTCGTGCCAATTGACTCAGAGCCCGCTGTCGTACCTGGTGACTCGGTGCCCACTGCCTTGCCAGATGACGCGGTGCCCGCTGGCGAGCCGAATGACCTGATGCCTGGTGACCCAGTGCCCGCTGTCATACCTGGTGACCCGATGCCCGCTGTCGAGCCAGACAATCCGGTACCTGATGACCCGGTGCCCGCTGTCATGCCAGTTGACTCAGAGCCCGCTGTCGTGCCTGGTGACCCGCTGCCCGCTGCCGAACCAGACGATCCAATGCCTGGTGACCCGGTGCCCACTGCCTTGCCAGATGACGCGGTGCCCGCTGGCAAGCCAAATGACCTGATGCCTGGTGACCCAGTGCCCGCTGTCATACCTGGTGACCCGATGCCCGCTGTCGAGCCAGACAATCCGGTACCTGATGACCCGGTGCCCGCTGTCGTGCCAATTGAGTCAGAGCCCACTGTCGTGCCTGGTGATTCGGTGCCCGCAGTCTTGCCAGACGACTCGGTGCCCGCTGTTCCGCCAGTTGACTCGATGCCCGCTGTTCCGCCAGACGACTCGGTGCCCGCAGTCTTGCCAGACGACTCGGTGCCCGCAGTCTTGCCAGACGACTCGGTGCCCGCAGTCTTGCCAGACGACTCGGTGCCCGCAGTCTTGCCAGACGACTCGAACCCCGCTGTTCCGCCAGTTGACTCGGTGCCCGCAGTCTTGCCAGACGACTCGGTGCCCGCAGTCTTGCCAGACGACTCGGTGCCCGCTGTTCCGCCAGACGACTCGGTGCCCGCTGTTCCGCCAGACGACTCGGTGCCCGCAGTCTTGCCAGACGACTCGGTGCCCGCAGTCTTGCCAGACGACTCGAAGCCCGCTGTTTCGCCAGTTGACTTGATGCCCGCTGTTCCGCCAGTTGACTCGGTGCCCGCAGTCTTGCCAGACGACTCGGTGCCCGCGGTCTTGCCAGACGACTCGGTGCCCGCGGTCTTGCCAGACGACTCGGTGCCCGCGGTCTTGCCAGACGACTCGGTGCCCGCAGTCTTGCCAGACGACTCGGTGCCCGCAGTCTTGCCAGACGACTCGGTGCCCGCTGTCTTGCCAGTTGACTCGGAGCCCGCAGTCTTGCCAGACGACTCGGAGCCCGCAGTCTTGCCAGACGACTCAGTGCCCGCAGTCTTGCCAGACGACTCGATGTCCGCTGTTCCGCCAGACAACTCGGTGCCCGCTGTCTTGCCAGTTGACTCGGAGCCCGCAGTCTTGCCAGACGACTCAGTGCCCGCAGTTTTCTCCGCCTGGGGGCCCGAGACCTGTCGCTCCGCCTGGGGGTCCGGCGCCCGCCGCTCCGCCTGGGGGCCCGAGACCTGTCGCTCCACCTGGGGGTCCGGCGCCCGCCGCTCCGACTGGGGGCCCGAGACCTGTCGCTCTGCCTGGGGGCCCGGCGCCCGCCGCTCCGCCTGGGGGCCCGATGCCTGTCCGCCTGGGGGCCCGATGCCTGTCGCCCCGCCTGGGGGCCCGATGCCTGTCGCCCCGCCTGGGGGCCCGATGCCTGATGCCTGGGGGCCCGATGCCTGTCGCCCTCCTGCCTGTCGCCCCACCTGGGGGCCGATGCCTGTCGCCCCGCCTGGGGGCCCGATGCCTGTCGCCCCGCCTGGGGGCCCGATGCCTGCCTGGGGGCCCGATGCCTGTCGCCCCGCCTGGGGGCCCGGTGCCTGCTGCTTCACCTGCTAATCCGATGTGCCTCTGCCCGGAGTGTGCCTCTGCCCGGAGTCCCGATGTGCCTCTGCCCGGAGTCCAGCCCGATGTGCCCGGAGTCCAGCCCGGTGTGCCTCTGCCCGGAGTCCAGCCCGGTGTGCCTCTGCCCGGAGTCCAGCCCGGTGTGCCTCTGCCCGGAGTCCAGCCCGGTGTGCCTCTGCCCGGAGTCCAGCCCGGTGTGCCTCTGCCCGGAGTCCAGCCCGGTGTGCCTCTGCCCGGAGTCCAGCCCGGTGTGCCTCTGCCCGGAGTCCAGCCCGGTGTGCCTCTGCCCGGAGTGCCCCTGCCCGGTGTGCCTCTGCCCGGAGTGCCCCTGCCCGGTGTGCCTCTGCCCGGAGTGCCCCTGCCCGGTGTGCCGCTGCCCGGAGTCCTGCCCGGTGTGCCAGTCTTTGATATCCCGCCAGTTACCAGACCCGGGCGGTGGAACATTTTGCCCAGCTAGGACTGTTTGGAGCGTCCTGAGGCCGCTCCTTGAGGGGGTACTGTCAGGAATGGACTGGCCAGCAATAGTGGGACTCACCTGCCTTGTGAGCTGCAGTACCAGGGCTGGCCAGCGGGTGCTCCCAGCAATCAGAGACTCAACCTTGCAGCCAGTCAAACACCTGGAACTAATTATACTGGTGTATTTAAGGGACATTCAGACCTGAAGACTCTGCCTTGGTGTTGTGTTTCTCTTGGGCCCTGTATCCTGTTCCTGCTCCCTGTTCCTGTCTGATTCTCTGCTGACCCTGCTCCTGATCCCTGGCTTGTCTGACCATTCTCCTGCTCCTGATCCCTGGCTTGTCTGACCATTCTCCTCTGCCTGACCCTCTGTACCACGCTGCCCGCTACCTGCTGAACCTGGCCTGTGACCCCGACCATTCTCCGCTTGCTCCCCCTGTACCTACCTGCCCAATTGATATTGACCTGGCCTGCCTGACGACCCTTGCATTGTATGTACTGTTATCTGTGGGTGGTTGGTTGGTTTGTTTGCACTGTGTTATGTTTTAGTATTGCACTGCGTTTATGTTTGTATGGTTAGTGTTAATAAATTACATTGTTTATAACATATCTGAAGCCTGCGTTTCCCTGCGTCAGTCACACACCTCTGGTCATACCCGGGAGCCCTGACAACTGCTTCAGCAAACCAGATTACAAATACTTACTTGCAGCCATGACATTGTTGTATTCGCACATGGAAGTGGAATTACCCACTTTCCTATGTATCCATTTTGGTGACACACAAACAATAAGGTGAATGGTCTTTATTTGACTATCACATCCTATGCTCTTTGCCTAGCTGTTTACTTGGGCTGATTATAGAAATATATATTTTGTCCATTTTTTTAAAAAAATACTATGCGTTAACTACTGTAGGTTTAGGCTTTACACTGTCACCATAGTATGTGTTCATGCCAATAATTTACATGGCATGACTTTAAAGTGTAACATGCAATGTATATGTACACAGTGGCACAGCAAGAGGTAGCAGCTTTGCTGGGCCCATCTCCTTAGAGTAAAGGGTTAGTTCTGACCCTGACTCAACAACTCAAACTTGTGGCTACACTAAGTGTTTATCTGTTGTAAAATACCTTTGGATGTAAGTTAGTTACAGTATATGTTTACATTGTGTAGTGCAGCTAGATCCCAATGTATTATACTGTATGTGAATATCCCCATTTAAAATATTTTGGTAAAAATCTGGCAACCAACTAGGTCCAATGTTTGCGAAGCCACCTGAAATGATATTGAATGCAAGCTCACTGTACTTTTTTATTACAATAAAACAATTTCTATTGAAAATGAGTAGCTGGATTTCTGTACTGAATTGGTTAAATCTCTTGTTCATTGGACCACATTCTTTTCTCACTTGCCTTCAAATCCAGACATTTCTGGCATAAATCCACACTCATTTTTTAAGCTGTCTGTTTCCATTTGCTTCACAGAAAAGCTCCTGCGTCAGAATTACAGCAAGATCAATTGTGATTGTGTTATCCTTAGGCCTCGTTTTGTGGGCACATTGGCTTATTGGCAGTCAGAAATGCATTTTCTCTGACACATCACGTCTACTTAATGTGACAGAGACCTGCTTCTGGCATTTGATTTCCATAATGTAAATTGCAACATACACTAACACAAAGCCTTGATTAGAGGAACAAATAAAATACCCACTTTAACACCTATACCAAGTTCCATTGTTATCATTTTGTATTGTAGTCACAGCACTCCCAATGTTTTAAGTTTTACAACATAGCATTTTGTTTAAGTTATGCAAATAAACCTGAGTATGCCCTAAATATTTGAACTGCCTAAAGCTGAGCTCTGCATAGATCTCCCTCCCCACTCCTTGCCATCCACCCCCCCCCCCCCCCCAACTAATTGCTAGGTCACTCTAAAGAAAGAAAATATCCAAATTACTGAAGTCCATGGTCACATGACTTGATGTATCCTGAGTCTCCTGTCTTCTTAACTGTAGAGAAGAAGGGTCGTTCTTCAGGTGCCCACTGTCTGGATTATGTGGACATTTCCTCTTGGCTGTCCAGAAAAAAACCTGAATGGTTGTTCACAGGGAGGAAGATGTATGCCCAGGCCAAGCATATGGCGGTGCCTGAAAATACCTGTGTTAGTCTACAAATTTATCACAATGTGCCTACGTTTGGCAGTTCACTGGCAAGGGTGGTGTGGTGCTTGGCATCAGTAAGGGTGGGGCCCTGTATAAAGCATTTTGCTAGGAATTAGACTCTGCACAAGGACATGGAGATTGATTTGAAGACTAACAAATTTGCAAACACCACAAGGTACTTGCATGCTCTTAAAGAAACATTTTAGGATAGGTCCGAATTTTCATAACATGGACTTGGTTTGGTAGAATATGTGGAATATGGTAGAGGTACATCAGGTATGATGAAATAGAAGAAGTGTTATGCTTAATGGTAAATTCAAGCTTTTTAATTCACTAATTTGGATCCAAGTTAGACCCCCTGATTAAAGAATAATATTTTTTTAGTTTTGGATAGAGTGGAGAGGGATTAAAACACCTGTCAATTTTTTTATTGCTGTCTGTGTCCCTGTTAGGAAGATTCACTGTTGGAGTCTGCAACATTGTACACATCAGACATTGCCGGATAGGTACTCTGATTACCACTAAGCCTTTTGATTATTGTGAAATGCCATCTTAAAGAACAGTGGAACAGGATCACCCTACATGTGTGGCATGGTGATCTTATCTATTGGGAAAAGGCTTCACGCACAGCACCCTGCAGTGGTTTCATTCAAACACCCTCAAGAAGTCCTGAGGAGGGCTGTAAATAATAATATCTGATGTGCTAATGAGCTATCCATCCCTAAGAGATCAAAGAGCAAGCAACACAAACACCCCCTTTCCTCTGTCTGATCACAATCTCATCACCTTCACAGTGTCCTTATCTTCAAACACTTATCCCTCCAAGCAGCAAACAATTACCTGCAAAAACCTTCACAACTTGAACCCTGCTCCTTTCCACTCTGCAACTGACCAAGTCTATGACATAATCTCTCCCCTGTCCTGCTCTAACCTGGTCACTTCTGTCTACAACATTTTGCTTTCATCCATACTAGACTCACTTGCTCCTCTAACAACACGAAGCATCAGGCCCCGACCATTACAACGTTGGCAGACTGATGACACCAGAAATCTTAAACAAAATAGTCGTGCGCTGGAGGGAATGTGGCATAAAACCAAATCTCACCAAGCATTCACCCTATATAAATCTGCTTTCTTAACATACAATTTCTCCCTCCATGCTGCCAAACAAGCCTACTTTGTCACTCTCATCAATAGCTTATCATCCAGTCCTCGTCGTCTCTTCTCTACTTTTAACTCTCTACTTTTTCCACCTCCACCCAGCACCTCACTCACTGCTCACGAGATTGCAAATCATTTCAAAAACAAGATTTATGCAATTCGTAGGGGCATCTCTACTGCACAGACATCTCAGAAGCCCGTCTCACTACCTGCCCCCTGGATCCTGTCCCCTCACAACTACTAAGGTCACTCTCTCTTCTATCCTATGCTCCCTCACTCACATCTTTAATCTCTCCCTCTCTAACGGTGCCTTCCCCTCCCCTGTAAAGCATGCACACATCACTCCCACACTTAAAAAGCCCTCCCTGGATCCCACCAACCTGAACAACCTAAGACCCATCTCCCTGCTCCCATTTACCTCTAAACTCTTAGAACGTTTAGTCTATAATTTCCTGAACTCCTACCTCACTGACAACAACCTTCTTGACCCTTTACAGTCTGGCTTTCGCTCACAACACTCCACTGAAACTGCCTTACTAAAACTCACTAATGATCTACTAACTGCTAAAACCAATGGCCACTACTCCGTACTCTTACTGCTTGACCTCTCTGCGGCTTTTGATACGGTTGAACATCCCCTCCTCCTCAAAAAACTCCACTTTCTTGGCTTCCAAGACTCTGCTCTCTCCTGGTTCTCCTCCTACCTATCGCAGCTCTCCTTCAGCGTTACCTATAACTCTGGCACCTCATCTTCACTCCCTCTTTCTGTAGGGGTCCCTCAAGGTTCCATCCTTGGACCCCTACTCTTCTCCATCTACACCTCCTCCCTTGGTCAGTTGTTAAACTCTCATGGCTTTAAGTACCATCTCTATACTGATGACACACAAATCTATCTTTCTACCCCTCACCTCACCCCTTCAGTCTCCTCTCGCATTACTAACCTACTAAGCGACATATCGGCATGGATGTCACTCCACTTCCTCCAACTGAATCTTTCCAAAACTGAGCTCTTAGTATTCCTTCCAGCCCGTGCCCCCTCCCCTGACTTCTCCATCAAGATCAATAACACAATCATCAGTTCCTCCCCTCATGCCAGGGTGCTAGGTGTAATCTTAGACTCTCATCTGTCCTTTCAGCCCCAAATTCAATC